GAAGATGGTGGAGAGGAGGGAGGACAATTCACAGTTCCTAGCAACGGTTCTTGGCCAGACCAGATTTGACGGGCCCATGGCGAGTTTCAGAGCAGGCCAATCCTTGGGCTCGACAAGCCCAGCAAGACCTAGATGCGCTCATGGCCACGGAGTCGGGCGCCAGCTTACACGAGTATCAGAGGACATTTGACTTTTGGTTCACGGATTGCAGCGAGTTTGTGAGGCTCGACGTGGACGAGCTCCGCGCAAGGTTTTTTCTTCTCACAGACTCCGCCACGGGGACGGCCCAGGCTGGCACAGGCGGAGGCGAGTACAGATGCAGCGAGTTGAATGCAGAAGGTACGGTGTGCGGCACAACATGGCCCACAAAACAACAGTTGCACGCATACATATCATCTACGTCGGGGGGCACGCACGACGACGAACTATCGCATAATATGCGAGAGTACGTTCAGGGACAAGGAAATCGCAAGGCAACACATCGCAACGAGCATGGTTCGAGGATATTGTCCGAAGTCCAGGGCCCGATTTGCTAGCGCACTGGAGGAGCCCGATTGTCTCAGATGCCCCCCGTGCCTCGACGTACCCGAGACCGTAGTTGATTTCTTCAAACACTGTCGTGCACACATTCAACCGCTCCTCTCACCTTCGTTTCACATACGAGAGTTGCAGCAAGATGGTGGAGGAGGCCTCGAAGTCGTGGATCGCTCGCCCTGGGGCGCGGGCGGCCAGTTCGAGGGCCAGCATCGCAGGCAACGCCGCGGCCAAGAAGTTCAAGGGCGGGGGCAAGGACGAGACTATGGAGGACGAGGACGAGCTGGACGGCACGGTGGCGGTGATGCAGTCGCTACTGGTACAACTCGAAGGGCGAGTACGCACGCTGGAGAACGAGGTGCACCGAACAGTACTGATCGTCAAGAAGTCGCCCATCGTGGAGGCCATCAGCGATAGTTTCCAGGCGTTCGTGACGAAAAGAAAGACGGAGGAGGAGGGAAGGTACATAGGCACGCCAACGTTCCACTGCCTTTTCGGGGCTCTCGACGCTATCTTGAAATACGAGCACAAGGACGGATCTCCGCGGATGGCCTGCGTGTTGGAAG